TTTGAGGACCCCTGATATACAGAATGATTATATGCCCTGTTGCACCTCCTAGAAATCAGGAATTAAAAATATTTTCTGCTGGTAAAATCAAGTCCGGCAAAAACACCCAGTGGGCCAGATAAATGTCCTTGGCGGGCCACATGTGGCCCGCGGGCCGTAGTTTGAGGACCCCTGATATACAGAATGATTATATGCCCTGTTGCACCTCCTAGAAATCAGGAATTAAAAATATTTTCTGCTGGTAAAATCAAGTCCAACAAAAATACTCATCTCTACACAAAGTCATGGAGACTTAAAACCCAACTCCTGAACAACAGTCAGGTCAAGGAGGAAATTAAGATAGAAATCAAAAGATTCTTTGAACTAAATGATAAAGAGGACACAAGTCAACAAAATCTGTAGGAAATTTCATTATCTTAAATGGCTATATCCAAAACACAGACCACAAATCAACAGTCTAATGAACTGTCTGAGGAAAAGGAAGAGCAAACCCAGTAGGAGAAAAGAAATAAAGAGACGAACTAAATGAAATAAATGACAAAAGAATTATACAGAAGATTAACAGGAAAAAAAAAACAGTTCTTTGAAAAGATTGAGGTCTCTCCCTAGATTAAAAAGAATAAGAAGATTTTAATAAACTCAATCAGAAATAAAAACTGATACCACAGAAATACAAAACATTATCTCTGAATACTATAAAAACCTATGCATATAAACTTGAAAACATGGCGGAAATAAATAAATTCCTAGGCTCATTCAGGACAAAATAGCTTTGTCGAATATGTAGCAAAACTGAAGAAGCAATAAAAATTTTCTAACAAAAAAAGTACCTGAACAGATGGTTTCACACCCAGACCTAAAAGAACTGCTACCTATACTTCAGAAATTATTCCATCAAAAGGAAGGAATCCGCTCCAAATCAGTTTATGAAAACAATTATCACCTTGATACCAAAGCCAGGATTAAAAAAAAAAAAAAACAGAACAAAAAAAGACAAGTATAGACCAATATCTCCTATGAATATAGATCCAAAAGTTCTCAGTAAAATCCTAGCAAACTGAATTTAGCTGTACATCAAAATGGTAACCCCCTGCGATCAAGTAGGCTTCATCCCAGAGATGCAAGGATAGTTCAATATATGCAATATATGTAAGTATAATTCACCACATAAAGATAAGGAAAAACAAAGTCCATAAAATCCTCTCATTAGACGAAGAAAAAGCATTTAACAAAATTCAGCACCTTTTTATGATAAGAAAACTTACTAAGCACAGATGGGACTTACCTCAAAAGTATTAAAGCCACATGTGAGAAATCCACAGCCAACATCATGCTTAGTGGGAAAAAACTGAAAGCAGTCCCACTTAGAACTAGAACGAGACAACCACTATTACCTAATCAACATAGTGCTGGAAATCCTAGCCAGAGTACAGACAAGAGAAGGAAAAAAAAGGATATACAAATGGGGACAGAGAGGCTAAACTACCATCACTTTTTGCTAATGATACAATTTTATACCTAGGAAACCTCAAAGTTTTTGCCAAGAGACTATTGGAATTGATAAATTCAGCAAAGTCTTAGGTTACAAAATCAATGTACACAAACCTGTAGATTATATACATCAAAAACAGTCAAGCTGAGAATCACGTCAAAGATGCAATACCTTTTACAACAATAACAACAAAGAAAATACCTAGGAATGTACTTAACTGAGGAGGTGAAATACTTAACTGAGGAGGTAATAGACCTCAAAGAGAGAACTACAAAACACTGAGGAAGAAAACTGCAGAGGATGTAACCAAATGGAAAAACATAATGCTCACTGATCCACAGAAAGCAACATTGTTAAAAGTCTATAAAACCAAAGTGATCTACAGGTTAAATGCAATTGCCATTAAAATACCAATACCATTTTCTCCAGATCTAGGGCAAATAGTTCTGTATTTTATAGAGAATCAGAAAAGACCCTGGATAGAGAAAGTAAGCTTAAGCAATAAGAAGAAATTGGAAGACAACACTTTATCAGGCTTCAAGCTATACAAGGCTATGGTAACCAAAATGGCATGGTATTGGCACAAAACAACGAACATAGACCTATGGATCAGATCAGAGAACCCAGATATAAAACCATTGCCTATTACTATCTGATCTTTGACAAAGTAGACGATAACATACACTGAGGAAAAGAATCTCTATTCAGTAAGTCAGTGATTTTCAACAATTGTGCCATGAGAGGATCTCACGTGTGCTGTGAAATTTTTCAAAGATCATTATTAAATTATTTTTGAAAGAAGTTCAAAGCACAGTAAGCATATTCTTTTTTTTAGTCTTTTTTTTGATCAACATAATTTAAGTGTGCACAGAAGTTTAATTATATGTTTAAGTGTGCCTATAGTTGAAAAACATTGAAAAAGGTTGAAAAACACTGCAATAAATGATGCTGGGAAAACTGGATAGCCACATGTAAAAGAATGAAACAGGATCTGTACTTCTCATCACTTAAACAATTAATTCATGATATATAACAAAATTAAACCTAAGATACTAAACTATGAAAATTCTAGAGAGAAATGTTAGAAAAACTCGTATAAATATCAGCTTATGTGATGAATTTATGAAGACTACCCCAAAGGCATCACAGCCAACAACAAAAATTAACAAATGAGACTTGATTAAATTAAAAAGCTTCTGTACAGGCTGGGCACCTATGGCTCAAGCGGCTAAGGCACCAGCAACATACCTGAGCTGGCGGGTTCAAATCTAGCCCAGGCCTACCAAACAATGATGACGGCTACAAGGAAAAAAAAAAAAAAAAAAAAAGCCAGGCATTGCAGTGGGCGCCCATAGTCCCAGGTACTCGGAAGGTTGGAAGGCAGAGGCAGGACAATCACTTGAGCCCAGGAGTTGGCATGTACTCAAATGTTTACTATAGCACAATTCATAGTTGCAAAGATATAGAATCAACTCAAATGACCATTGATACATGATTGAATTAATAAAATGTGGTATGTGTATGCCATGAAGTACTACTCATTCATAAAAAAAAAAAAATGGTGAGAGCCAGGCACGCTCATGCCTGTAATTCCAGCACTCCAGGAGGCAGAGGCAGGTGGACAGCTTGAGTTCAGGAGTTTCAGTTCAGCCTGAGCCAGAGTAAGACTCATCTCTAAAACATAGCCCAGCGTTACAGCAGGCAAGTGTAGTCCCAGTTATTTGGGAGGCTGAGGCAAGAGCATAACTTGAACCCAAGAGTTTAAGGTTGCTGTGAGCTATGATGCCATGGCATTCTCCTAGGGGCAAGAAATTGAGACTGTCTCAAAAAAACAAACAAAAAAACAAAAAAACAAAAAAACAAAAAAAAATGGGTAAACTGGCCAGATGCAGTGGCTCATGCCTATAATCCTAGCACTCCAGCAGGCCAACGTGGGAGGACTGCTTGAGCTCAGGAGTTCAAGACCAACCTGAGCAAGAGCGAGACCCCGTCTCTACTAAAATTATAAAAAAAATAGGCAAGCATAGTGGTGGGCACTTGTAGTCTCAGCTACTCAGGAAGGAGGCTGAGGTAAGAGGATCACTTGAACCCAGGAGTTTGAGGTTACTATGAGCTATGATGCCATAGCACTCTATCCAGGATGACAAAGTGAGACTCTGTCTCAAAAAACAAACAAACAAACAAGTTTGTTTTGGGTGGCACCTATGGCTCAAAGGAGTAGGGCGCCGGCCCAATATACCGGAGGTGGTGAGTTCAAACCTAGCCCCAGCCAAAAACTGCAAAAAAAAAAAAAAAAAACAAAAGTAGTTTGTTTCCCCTGTAATATTCTGAAATTTAAAAACAATAGTATCAGTATGTGAATTTTTAAACCCATTAGTATATTCTTACCTGAAGTCCTTTTATAAAGTTTTGAATTGAGAAGTCATGATACAAAAAGATATTGGTCAGAACCTGTAACACTTTTTCACTTATTTTAAAGGGAAACTGAGTTGTAAGAAGTAGCTGAAAGAGATTAAGGGGGAGATACTCTTTGTTAGTCTCACTGTACATAAACATGAACCATACATAATAAGGCAAAGAATGATACTGAGACACAGTAACTATGAAAAGCTGCAATAGTAGCTAGTTTAGAAAATTTAAAGTTAATTTATATAACAACAAAAAGAAGCAAGTCATACTATATCTTCAGAATCAAAGATGCCCATCATTCACTATCCAATTTATAATTTTAAAAATACTACATTATCAAGTATATAATCCTTTTCCTCCCACCAGAAGCCAGTGAACAAGCTGCAGGCTTTGGCAATTCTTGTTACCAGATAAGATTTTTTTTTTCTATCCTTACTGATTCAAATTAACAAAAAGTTAACACATTCAATACCGTTGAGTAAGAAACATTTTAATAGGTGTCTTAATTTAAAAATATAAAATAGGCTGGGCACGGTGGCTCACGCCTGTAATCCTAGCACTCTAGGAGGCTGAGGTGGGTGGATTACCTGAGCTCAAAAGTTCAAGATCAGTCTGAGGGAGAGCAAGACCCTGTCTCTAAAAATAGCTAGACACCTGTACTCGGAAGGCAAGACAAGAGAATCGCTTAAGCCCTGGTTTGAGATTGCCTTGAGTTATGATGCCACAGCACTCTACTGGGGACAATAAAATGAGACTGTGTCTCACAAAAAGAAAAAAGAAAAAAATATATATAGAGAGAGAATAGCTGAATTTGTATTATTTGGCTAACTTTTAAAGGCCTGTAATGGTATTTTACAACCGAAAATAAAAAGTAATAATAGGCTTCTTAAACAGAAGCCTAGCTGCAGAAGGTCAACTAAACAAATTTAAATACTAGCTGGAAAAAATTTTCCCTAAAGTGTCAATAAACTAGATAAACATCACGTTTTTTCGAGAAAAGAAAGTATGGCAGTGCTTAGTCAATAAGTAGGTAGGTTGTCATTATTTTCCTTACAGTATAAAGTACATCTTACAGGACCTACATCTGTAACAATTTGAGAAAGGTTAATACTCAAGAAGTATAATTCTTTTTATTTTAGTATTTGTTGTCAAGAGCAGCATAATAGGAAAGAGTTCACTGAAAACTTCAAATCATTTTATATGAAATGTAAGATTCAAAACGTTTTTACTAGAACCTCTACAAATTCTGTAAAATTTATTTTAAAAACCTATTATTTTCCCTAAACAAAGATTTATAGATATTTAAGTATATAGACAGATAGGATCGTTCTTTTAGATAAAGCTTATACTTTATCTAAAGAGGCAATGTTATACAAAATCACTGTGAAACTATAAAACACTATAAAATCATTAAATAAAAACAACTTATATGAAGGAATACATTCCATACAGTACTATGAGAGAATCAGAGATTTGTCATTAACATTTCTATTACAATCTACTGTTGGCAATTTTCTTTTCACCTTACTTCACTGGCAAAGCTTTTTTTTTTTTTTTTTTTTACCTTATCGAGTACTGTAGTCAGGTGCTCCTTGCAAGACAAAGATTGGAACAGTTCTATACATAATAAGGATGATACTGCATGAGGAAGCAACCGGTGGATGATAATAGGAGATGTGGCAATTCCAAAAATGAGTATTAGTGGAAATTCATGCAGATGTTGACTAGTTTTCAAAGATAGAAAAGTGGGATTTCTTTAGCAAGTATATTACATGTTTTAAGATAAAACGAAGTTTATATTAATGACTACTTTGTAAGACACTGCTAAGTAGTATCATTCCAAGTATTAAAATTTTCTAGGTCATTCATTTTTCTTCTGTTAAAGTAACAAAGAAATAGTTATTTCCTAGCATTCTATCTTTGCAATCAATCTATTGATGGGTCCTCTCATTTTATAAAAAAGAACACAGAGGTCCACAAAGACCACGGGCGTCCACCTGAAGTTATACCACCCCAAGTGTTAGAAACCACCCAAAATATAACTTCTCACCTAAAGTTAGAGCCCTGCCTACATTCTTCCTCATTAATGAGACATGAAGCTCATTAATTTTCAAGGTGACTTATTCTACTAGCGGACATTCCTAACACATACTATGTTAGTCATAATAACTAAAAGTTGATAGATATCATTAAAAAATGTTAAATATCTCTTCCTCACGTTCTTAAACATATTGAAGACTTATTGTTAGTATCATCAGTGAACATGAAAGACTTTCTCTTTGAGGGGCCCTACAGTTCAGAGCCCGCTGTGGCATGGATGATGACTTCGCTTGGTCTGTCAGCTGTGCTTTTCAGTATTCTAGCTGTACGCAGTTCTGCCTTCACGGGAGTAAAGTGATGGGACTATCTTGTTTTTGTAAGTTCTTCTTTACTTTTGATGGTTAAAGCAGTCACAACTCTAAGCTCTAAAAGTTCAGGTTTTATGTCACTATTTTGTACCATGCACTTTCCCAGCATGGTAAACAGTTCAATGTTAATATTAAGTCCTAGGACACAGAACTCTTCTTAGAGTCAATGGGGAGAAAAAAATCACTCAACAGTAGGAATTTTCAGAATGTCAGTAAATTATGATGCAATGTACAATATATAGCTTTAATTAAAGGTAGCCATAATCTGGCTTGGTGCCTGTAGCTCAAGCAACTAAGGCACCAGCCACATACACCAGAGCTGGCAGGTTCAAATCCAACCTGGGCCTACCAAATGACACTACAACTAAGAAACAGCTGGGCACCGTGGCGGGTGCCTGTAGTCCCAGCTACTTGGAAGGCTGAGGCCTGAGAATCACTTAAGCCCAGGAGTTGGAGGTTGCTGTGAGCTGTCACACCATGCCACTCTACCCAGGGTGACAGCTTGAGGCTCTGTCTCAAAAAAAAAAAAAAAAAAAAGGTAGCCATAATCATTCAGAGAAGTCAACTTAAAAAATACACCATGGAAAATGTATGTTACTCAAATTTAAAATAGTGTTACTTCAATTCTGAGTTTTATAGGATTGAGAAGACCCCCCCAAAAATCATGACAATAGTTTCTCATAAGATAATGTTATTTAGAAAACATTTTTGCTGGGTAAAGCTATTTGCTCTGGGAGTAATTTACCCATGTAATGAGGAAATAAGAGAAAAAAACCATGGTGAGACAAACTACACTTTATACTACCTTACCACATTAATTTAAAACTGGCTACATTTGTCTTTGACTCTCATTCTTGAGTCAAACAACAACAAAAATCTGAGAGAAGTTCTTCAAACATTCCGTTAAAAAGAATTTAAAATCACGTTGATTTCTACACAGTTAGTATTAAAATGAAAATTATGCTTTGTAAGTTAAAAGTAAAAATTTTCAATAGAGAATTTTGCATAAAAGCTAGGAGATACACCATCTACCTGCTGATAACTATGAAGTCCTGGAGTACTCTCGTGGTGAAGCTTTCCATATCCTTTAAGACAAGCACAACAGGAGGATACTGCCATTGGCTAGTAGCGGTCCTCTTTTTGCGCGGCATTTCTGGGTCTCTCTTCTTTTAAGCCATTGTGAAAAGGAGTTAAAAGTAAGCCTTACCAGCCACACAATGCTATATCACCATTCCTTTGATATGTATCTCCCTTTACATTTCATAGTAACAATGTTTCTTTTATTTCTCCCACATAATAAATAGAAACTCATTCCAATACTCACTAGCAGAATCTTTTTGTGCCTGACACAAAATAACAACCAATTAGAAATAGGTTCGGTAAAATCTATAATTCATATGAAATATTTATATTTTATGCTGAGAAAAATGACAGGAAAAATATGAGAAAATATTCTACAAAATTGTTTTTCTGTTGGTAGAAACTAGTATTTTGCTTTTAAGAACTAATATTTTTAATTAAAAAATACAATAAACAGCACTACCTGCTGCTCTGCTATTATGAAAATTCAAGCTTGAGGAGGACTCTTAATATCCTCTGGTCCAACCTCAATCTTGTAAAGACATCTGACATAAATTGCAAGTAGCATTGGATTTCTAGGATTACGGGTCAAATCAAGGTATTATGGTTGAGTATCAGACCAAGTTTAGTCCACCTATAAAGCAAAGTGAAACTTCCCTTATGAAGACGTTAGCAAAAATGTTGATAAGAAAATGCCACCATAGTATTTTTACCCACACCACCTGGCTACGCAGTATCATAAACTAAGGCTGTGGTTTTACGATGCAGTTACCCAATGAGTCACTTAGGTCACCCATTTTCACCAGAATGAAATTTCTTTTTGTCTGTTTATTGAATATACTTTACTTACAAAGCACTGATTCCCTAAGAACTCCAAACACGAAACAGTTAGGTTTAAAAAAAAATACATAATTATTCTTCATAAAACTATGTTGACAGTAAGTAATGGGTACTAACAGCATGGTTCTATTGCACAAAAGCAAATACTGAGGAATATAAGAGATAACATATTAAAGTTATAATCATTATCACCATGTGCAATAGAACTGACTCCTAATGTTCTGTTTTTGTTATTTGATGATATTCTTCCACAAATAAAATAACCTTGTATAAACCTATACACTGAACAGGAATTAGGCTGCATAGTAATAAAAGAACACTTTTAAATCCTAGTGGCCTTAGAAAAAATAATTGCTACTATTAAATACCTAGCTGCATAAGCGTATCTTATTACAACAATTAGCTCTTTAATACAATTCCAAGCCCCATCAATCGTATGTCAATATCCTGGGAGAAAATCATCAGTTTATTTTACCTGTGTGACAGTCTTATACCAACTGCAAAGTGAATCCATTGAACAATATGTCTTTTTCTGGGTGACCTGAACACTTTCCTTCTCTTTGGATTTTACAACTGTATAGCAGTCCACCAACTGTGAGAACAACTTTTGTAAAAAGTGCTTCATATCTGCAGAATATAAAAAGAAAGGTTATTTCCTCTTTTTTTTTTTTTTAAGAGACAGAGTCTTACTTTATTACCCTCAATAGAGTGCTGTGACATCACAGCTCACAGCAAAACCTCCAACTCCTGGGCTTAGATGATTCTCTTGCCTCAGCCTCCCCAGTAGCTGAGACTATAGGCACATACCACAATGCTCAGCTATTTTTTGTTGCTGTTTAGCTGGAGCCAGGTTTGAACCTGCCTCCTTCGGTATATGGGGCCCGTGCTTTACCCACTGAGCCATAGGCACCACCCAGGTTACTTCCTCTTAAAACAAAATTAAAGTTACTGAAACTTCTTTATTAATATATTAAATTGAACAGCATATGTTCTTCTACACTTACAATCAATGTAATTTTTAACATATTAACTATTAATGGTCATTAGTACCCTCTTAATATTTAAATTTCATTAATTCACATTAAGACTAGAACAAAGTTTATGTGTATTACCTACTAATATGATGAAAGGGCTATATAAACAAATATGTAAACATGAAATCTATAAGCTATTTAAGGAATATGCATTTAAATTATATTGGTCAACAAAAGGTTATTAATATCCCCTCAAAAAAGTTATTATATGAAATATTTTATTGATTATAAATCTTTCATACTGTCACTTTTAAAGATGCCTTTAGAACTTATACTTAAGGCTCGGCACCTGTGGCTCAAGTGGCTAAGGCGCCAGCCACATACACCTAAGGTGGCGGGTTCGAATACAGCCCAGACCCGCCAAACAACAATAAAGGCTGCAATCAAAAAATAGCCAGGCGTTGTGGCGGGTGCCTGTGGTCCCTGCTACTTGGGAGGCTGAGCCCAGGAGTTGGAGGTTGCTGTAAGCAGTGAAGCCATGGCACTCTACCCAGGGGGACAGCTTGAGGCTCTGTCTCAAAAAAAAAAAAAAAAAAGAACTTATACTTAATTTCCATCAGCTTATGAATAAGAAATATAACACACACAAAACTCTCATATCAGTCCTGTCCAAATCCAACTGACTACATTAGTGTGCATATTCTTTATGATAGGTTCACTCAAGATTAGCTCTGTCAAATGCATTCTTTTCTCACGTGCTGGCTTTTTCAAAGTGGGACAATAAGATGATTTATAGCTACGTCAGGGCTCCCATGCTTCCTTTCAGCTTCCTTTCCTAAATCTTTACTTACCAAGTTTCACTGGATTAAAGAATACATCCTGCAAAATGCCTGTTTCTACTATCACTGAAGCTTGCATGGCAGAAATTGGAGCAGGATCAAGAAAGCAAAAGAAGGCAGAGAGTCCTATAATAATCAAGATTACCTGGGGGCTACAAAACCTTCCCCTGCCAAAAATGTAGACCTGTGCTGTTCCCACCAATAAAAACAAATCAAGGAAGTGAGAGGTTAAGAGAGAGAAAAGAATGGATGGAAGAAATCTATAACATCTCGCTAAGGTTATTATGGCATTTATATTTACCTGGACCATCTTTAGCTTGCAATGAGACTACATATGGTGTAACATTATCCCGAAGAGCCTCTATTAGACTTCTCAATGTTAAATCATGATCTGTGACATTTACACCTATGAGATAATACAACAACATTATGTCATCATTTTCATTAATGCCAATTTAATGATAACAAAAGGCACTGAACTTGCCAAGTACAAACATTTTAAAAACACAAAACCAAGAAAATATACTGCATCAATGAAGACTTATCCATGAACAGCAGCTACTTAGAAGTGTGTATTACATTTGTCAGAAAATATATTTAGCACAATTCTTCTTTCAAAAAAATTACTAGGGATGTGTAGTTGACCCTCAAAAATATCTTAGGAATAATTTCATTGCTTTGTCACATTCAAAAAGAGTTACTTAATCATTCGAGGCCAGAGGCAGTGGCTCACACCTGTGATCCTAGCACTCTGGGAGGCCAAGGTGGGAAGACTCCTTGAGGGTAGAAGTTGGAGATCTGCCTGAGCAAGAGCAAGCAAGGCTCCAGCTCTACAAATGCCTATAGCCCAGTTTCCCTAGGAGTGAAACGAAAACATGATTGGAACTCAAATAAATCCAACTTTGTTTTCAAAAGAAATGAAGAAAATTTACTAATATTTCAAAGAAAAATTTTCCCGTTATCTGAGAATCCATGTTTAGTAAAGATAGGACAATAATGGTATACCTATTATAATAGGAATTCTATGCCTACAAATTTACAATCTAAAAGGAATTTATGTATCATTCATCTATAAACTCTTTTCTAGGCAATTAATGTAATTTCAATACAATGAAACAATCTAAGGTTGAAAAATTAAGCACAGGAAAATAAAATTAAAGTCACAGAATAAGTCCATTGAACATATGACCAAAAAGGTATAAAATCAAATCTGGTAACATACTTGTGGTTTCTTTATCACTAAATCCAAATCTCATATACTCTCTGTGGAAGAGTAAAACAAATATATCTCCCCTCTTGCAAAAAGTTTAAGAGAGTACTAGCTGAATCAATTCCTTTTAATTTATAGATGATCACCTATAAATATATAAAGAACTTTTATTGGTTTTAAAAGTATGAAAAACAAACTATAGTTGGCTTAATTCTATAAATAAAAGAGACAAAAGGCTCATCAGAACAGGTTATTTCCCACTATTGTCAACAATAAAAACATTAAAAAAAATGCATATATGTGTGAACACACAAACATACACACCAAGAATAAGAGCAGCAGTTGGAATTTCTCTGAGTTTTATTTGACAGCCTAAGTCTCTTGAATTCTTCTGGACTCCACAATAAGACTTGCACAGAAAATCAATTAAATTGTCAAACAGGTTTTTATTTAATTCATCTTGTAGCCGCTATAAAGAAAATAAAAAGATGTTTTTACCTAACATCTCTAGTGATTAGTGCTTTGGATTCCCCTATTTAAAAATTCCTCTCATTTTTCATTCAACTAACATTTACTAACCACCTTATGAATGAAAGCTAGTTTCTAACCAAAAAGAGGGAAGAAATTAAACAAGGACACTTAAAATGAAAATACACCATAGAGTGCCATAATATAGGAGGCAAAGGGTAGGACCACCTAACTTAAGCTAAGGAGGTGATATATTTAAACTAAGGGATTGGCAAGTGTTAAGAGGTGACAAAAGATAAAGGAAAATTAGAAAGAATAACTGGAGGAAGCAAGGAAGGAAGAAAGCATCAAATACTTGGGGAGCCACAGATAATAGCTAAGTACAAAGACATCAGAAATGGTAGAAAATGAGGTTGAATAAATAAAGGGTCTGGATTTTATCCTGTGGGAAGAAACACAGAAGGAATGTGAAGTACAGGCATGATTAGAACAGGGTTAAGAAGCATTAACCTGGCAGCAGAGCTGGAAAATCCTTGTAACTTGGCACAGGGCTACATTTATCTAATGGAAAGACTTTTCTGAATTGGCCAGTGGTGCCATAAAGCCTAGTGGCAGATTGAAGGGTTTCAGATCAGGGCCAAGAATGCAAATTAGGAGGATATTATGACAATCTGGGCTATAAAATGAAGAGGGCCTAAACTGGAAACCACAAACTCAAATACCTTTTAAGTATCACACAGAACATATGAACGGGCAAAGCCACTAGATGCAAAGCAGAAAAAACTGGTGGGGGTGGTAACACACTGGAAAATGCAGAACCCTCCCAAAGGCATTCAAAAACAAAAACGCTAACACTGTGCGGCCAAACAAGTCATCAGCCCAAACTGTTGGTCCTAGAACTGCCAACTTAACTACAGTGGAAAATTTTTTCAGAGCTAAAATATAAAGAGCATGGTAACCAGAAAGGAGGAGGAGGGAGAGGAGTTCAGAAACAGCCTGACTTCGTACTTGTGGAACTCATTGGATAATACGAGAGAGCCACCGTTCTAAAGCTCCCGGAGTTACTGGCTGTCATAAACAGGTTCCAGTTCCTGGAACTTAAGCTATGCATGATATCTGGAATACCAGAGGTTTTTTTCAGGATACACAGATTATGCATAGCCAGTGTTGCCTATATTTTGGCAATACAAATTGATGGAAAAGGAAGATGGTAAGCAACAAATATAAGATTTACAGTATCAGAGAAATAGGAAATATTTTCAAAAAAGTATTCACCTCAGTTTCAGATTTCATCTGTTGCCATATCAACTGATAAGTTTCAAATCGAAGCTTACTGTCCTCAGATGCATTTCCCCCTTTATTAAAATAGTTCTCTAAAAACACAGAAAGAAATGTTTCTTTTTTTTTTACATAGTAAAAGAAACTACAAGCAAAGTCACACAGTAAGTGATAGAGGTTGAATTTTTAATATGTATCAAATATATATATATATATATTTAGGGATCGGTAACATTCAATATCCTTTGAATTTATGTATTTTTTATTTTATCATATTAACTCTATCTTCAGGATGAATTTCTAACAGTTTTTATTTAGTGGTTTGAGTTTATTTAATATAGTTTTTGGTATACACATTTAATATTAATGTTTTTCATTATTTACTCTTACATGTATTCTATGATCTTATATACTTTGCTTCATATACAGTATTTGCTTTGAACTGTCCATGGTTAAATGATTCTTACTACTCCTATCCTTATAGTACTTTTTTTCCATTGACACAGTTTAGTCTAGTCTTCCGTTTATTCTGTCAGTGTATTTTTCTTCTTTTTTAATGTTTTCTCCAACTGGTTAACCATTTGTTAAAATACCACTTATTGCAGTGATTTTCAAACATTTTAAACCATGATCCACATTAAGAAATACATTTTACGTCATAATCTAACATACATACATGCAACAAAGAAAAATGAAAGCCCATGAAAAATATACTCAGCCTTATTGTGTGATTAACAATTTTTTTAAAAAACAATTATCATGACCCACTAAATTGATTTCCTTTCCTTACACATAGATTACATCCTTCATTCTGAAAAATACTCCTCTACTGAGTGATCCATCCTTCTCTCACTGACTTGACATGCCCATCTTTGTATGTAGTACAATTTAGTATTAAATAGGCCCAGGTCTTCGCCCCATTGCCACCAAACATTGTTATTCCTTTTCAAAAAACTTTAATCCATTCTTTCAAATTAATTTTGTCACTTCTCAGTAGTAATTTCACTAGTATTACGAATAGATAAAATCAAATTTGTAGCCTGATTTAGGGAGAAATAACATCTTTTATGTCTTAAAAAGTTCACATGCAAAAACATCATTCCTTTAATACTTTCAATTCCTTATAGTTTTATACTTTCCTTCATATTTCTTGTTGTTTATGTCTACATATTTTATTGCAGCAGCTAAAGCTTTCATGGTATTAAATTGCTGCAGCTAGTATTCTACCATCAAGTTTTAATGTTAACTGGTAAATTACCATGTTATTCTTTTTCACAGTATGGAACTTGGTTTGTAACCCTAGCTTACCCAGAGTTTATAAATAAAGTACCAATTTTTTTTTTTTTTAACAGAGTCTAACTCTGTTGTCCTGCCTAGAGTGCTGTGGCATCAGCATAGTTCACAACCTCAAACTCCTAGGTTCAAGTGATCCTCTTGCCTCCACCTCCCAAGTAGCTGAGAATACAAGCATGCTCCATCACACTTGGCTAATTTTTCTATTTTTTTATAGAGATGGGGAGTGACTCTTGCTCAGGCTGGTCTTAAACCCCTAAGCACAAGCGATCCTCTTGCCTCACCCTCCCAAAGTGCTAGGATGACAAGCATGAGCCACTGTATCTGGCTTGAGTTTTAATTTCATCAAAGTTTTGTTAATATATTGAAATTAGCTTATGGTAAAATGGTAGTTTTAAAATGCAAACAACAAAAGAAAATAGAGAGATGCAAAATTAGACAAAGGAGAATAACAAGAGCCTTAAATAGAACAAAAATATCATTTTACATTGAAAATTAGTAAAAATTTTTACTAATTACTAAAAATTTTTAGTAAATTGTTAAAGTGGCAAATCAAGACATGAATTTTGTAATGTGCTGAATAATGTTGCATCAAAATATATAATGAAAAGCCTCTTGAAAACAGTAATAATAGAATACTTGAAGCTGTTACCATGGCTTCTCTGCAGATTAGGCAGGCTTAAAAAAAATAAAAAAGCATTGAGAGGAATTGAATGTAAGTTCTTGCTTTTGTCAGGTTTCCTCCTGCCTTGGCTCCCACTCACAGTGCTATGCTCCAGTGTGAGCATCTCCAGCACCAGCCTGCTGTCAGCTTCTTTCCCAGTCCCTACCCAGCTGTTTTGTTAGGAGTGCTGTCACCCACAGAATACTGAAGAGAAGAGTGTTAATGGCTTAAGCACATGCCAAGTGTCTTGCAGTCAGGACGGGTGCTGGGCAAAATCCAGAACGTCTTTCTGCTTCTTCAGGCAGTCTATTTCAAGAATAGAAGCCAGTGGAGGCAAGTGATAAGATCTAGGTAGGCTTCCCTCATTCCTGTTCCATCTGTTTTATTATCAGGGTCAATTCCTCAAAGATTTTCACATTATAACAGTATCTGTCAGCCTTAAATCCACAAATGAAAGAAAAAAACCCTAATAAACTTTTATTTATTTATTTAGAGACAGAGTCTCAGCTATTGCCCTGGGTAGAGTGCAGTGGCATCATAGCTCACAGCAACCTCCAATTCTTGGGCTCAAGCAATCCTCTTGCCTCAGTTTTTCCTTTTTTCTTTTTTAGTAGAGACGGGGGTCTTGCTTTGCTCAGGCTGGTCTTGAACACGTGAGCTCAACCATTCCACCCACCTCAGGCTCCCAGAGCCCTGGGATTACAGGTGTGAGCCACCTTGCCTGGCCCCTAATGAACTTTTAAAGCAAAGTTCAGATTATACAATTATGCATACAGTATGTACAACCTCCATAGCTGACCACCTCAAGTTGGCATAATTTTCATAGACTGGACATGCACCACATATCTTTATCAGTACAGCAGGCCTTATTCCTTCTGTTGACAAGTTTGTTACAGCCCCTTGAAAAGTCAACTTAAACAGAGGTTCTACTGTGTTAGGTTTATTAATATAGTAGTAAAACCCATAAACAAATCTCAATAAATTATGGCTGAAATTCAATACAAAAAGTTATAAGCAAAACCTTGCCTCATTTTATGAGAGGCACTATTAAGTAATGCTTAGACCATGGGCTCTGGAATAAGGTTGGGTTCAAATCCCAGCTCTAATAATTACTACCACTTAACACTAAGAAAGTTATGTGTCTATGTATCTTCACATATTTTAATGGAGATAATACATTCCTCGGCTCAGCGCCTATAGCTCAACTGGCTAAGGCGCCAGCCACGTACACCTAAGGTGGCGGGTTCGAATCCCCAGCCTGGACCCGCCAAACAATGACGGCTGCAACCAAAAAATAGCCGGGCGTTGTGGCGGGCGCCTGTGGTCCCAGCTACTTGGGAGGCGGAGGCAGGAGACTCGCTTGAGCCCAGGAGTTGGAGGTTGCTGTGAGCTGTAATGCCACAGCACTCTACCCAGGGGGACAGCTTGAGGCTCTGTCTCAAAAAAAAAAAAAAAAAAAAATACATTCCTCATAGTTTGCTAAGAGGATAAAACAAATTAACACATATAAAATGCTTAGAATAGTCTTGGCACACAGTTAATGCTCAAAAAAAATTAGCAATTCTATTCGTTATATTACTAATGACAGACGCCACTACATGCCATGTGTCCCTCATGAATAACAAACACATCTTGAATTTTCTCTTAACAATTTCTTATAACTTTAGCCATCTCCAAAATAAAAATTTGTTCTAAAGTTAATAATTTAAAAATGATGTGTAACGTAGTTATTCTTTGTTTACTATTTCCATCACTTTTGCATTTCATTTTGGAAAGGAGGACAAAGAATTAAGGAAGCTTCCGGCATAAAGCACTAGATTGCTATTTATTTCTCTATTAATGAGAAATTGGATTCTTACCATAAATTATAGTTTCTCCCCATATTAGACCAGTATTTTACTATTTTTATATTCTACTTGAGCACACGGCTTAGACTGATGAATTAGTAACACTAAGGTCTATATCATGTGATGATTTAGAAAAATCCTATTCTACATATTCAAGTTTTCATTTATTTCCTACTCAATGGTATACTTCAGTTTTTCTCTTTTTCGATTCAAAACTAGTACACAGGTATACTTAATTCATGTAATAATTTTTCCATTGAAATTAATATTCACGGTGCTGAATATTGAGTGCAAATACTTGATAGCCTGTGAGAAGCTTTTTAAAAATTGTAACATTTATACTCTATTCCCAATGATTTTGATTGAGTGGTCTGGGTTAGGGTCTGGACATGGGTATAGGTTGAGTATCCTTAATCTGAAAATCTAAAATCCAAAATGCCCCAAATCAAGAACTTTTTGAACACTGACATGATACCACCAGTGGAAAATTTCACACTGACCTCATGTGATAGACTGGTGTCAAAAGTTTTTGTGTAAAAAATTATTAAAAATATTGTATAAAATAATCTTGAGGCTATGTGTATAAGGTGTATATAAAATATAAGTGAATCTTGTGTTAGGCTTGGGACCCAATCCTAAAATAATCTCATTATATATATCTCAAAATCTGAAAAAATCCTAAATCCTAAATCCAACCAAAGGTCTCAAGAATTTCAGATAAAGGATACTAAACGTACTTTCTTTTAGAAATCCACCAAATTGAAACTTCAGTAAGGTCAGTGGATTGTTATCAATGTCAGTTCCTTGGTTGTGATACTATACTACAATCATGTAATATATTACCACTGGGGATAACTGGTGGAACAGGAGAACTCTATACTATTTCATACAACTGTATGTGAATCTACAATTAAATACAAATAAAAAGTTTTTTAAAAGTTTCCCAAGTATATAGAAGGAAAAGGACTGAGGTTAAAAAAAAAAAGTCCCGGCTCGGCACCTGTGGCTCAAGTGGCTAAGGCGCCAGCCACCTATACCTAAGTTGGCAGGTTCGAATCCAGCCCGGGCCTGCCAAACACAATGACGGCTGCAACCAAAAAATAGCTGGGCCTTGCAGCGGGCGCCTGTGGTCCCAGCTACTTGGGAGGCTGAGGCAGGAGACTCGCTTGAGCCCAGGAGTTGGAGGTTGCTGTAAGCTGTGATGCCATGACACTCTACCCAGGGGGCTCTGTCTCAAAAAAAAAAAGTTCCCAAATAATTCTAATGTGCAGTTATAATTGAGAACCAATGTAATAAATACATTCTGACAGTAATATTGTGATTTATTTGAAGAAGTTTCTTTAACTTGATCACTAAAGATCAAGCTGCTTGAGTTACAGGTGCTGAGCCTCACAGCTCTTTCTTGTGGCCCAGATCAGTAGTATATAGTGACTTACACACTGAACATGTACTTGGTCACTGGTGCTCCCTAATATCTCCACTTCCCTAAAATTATTGATTTTCCCCTTTCTAATATGCAATGGCAGATTTCATAGATAAGTCTTAATATGTTGCTAAGATAGTGGGCCAGAGGCAGGCAGTGGAATATGAGCAGGGCAAATGAGAGAAGGGGGTGAAGGGCTGCCACAGGGCTGGGGGTAGTAGCCATAGCATCTGGGAGGGCAGAGGTGGGTGGATGTGAAGAACGCCCTGGTAGCAGCAAGTACATGGACCATGACAAGCTACTAGAAAGAGGCTGAGGCATCAGTTTCCCTAGGGGTCACTTTTTTTTTTTTAATATTAGAAAGATAGAAGACTTTTTTGCAGTGTTTAGACTGTTCTGTTATGGATTCACATAGAATTTGGTAATTTGCTGTTTCCACATTCCTGAAAGGTACATGTTAGAATTACATTTTAATACAGCTGCTTCTTTCAGGCACAGCTTTAGATATGACTCCAGCATTTGTGAATTACAGTAAGTATCATGATGGTGCTTCATAAATTGTAAAACACGATTTTCCTGTTAAATTACTCGTCCCCCCAACTTGGTAAGTGATCTGTAGAAAAATGAAAAAAGTAAAGACAATGTCCTTTTTTGATAATTTAATTTCATTGACTATAATTTACAATAAAACACACTTATTTTAACAGTCTGACACAAGTCAACACTCATTTAACTAGTGCCTTAATCAAGACAGAGAATATTTCCATCACTCCATTAAACTCCCTCTTGTTCATTTGCAGTCAATTCCTCTTACTTCACTGCAGGAGCCACTGGGACTTAACATAATCTCTGTTGTTGCTTTGTCTTTTTTAAACAAATATAAATTATTATATATTCCACATTGATTTTTTTCTTTAATTTACTTTGCCAACTTTATTCATAAAAATGGAATACCATATAAACTTCAAGTGTATTTAAGTCTCTTGTAAATACTGTATATTTACCTAGAAATCTTATCTCTCTAACTTTCTCTCTGACCAATGCCTTGGAATATAACTGCTACATGAACAGAGTAAGACAGTCAACCTTAGACAAGAAAATTACTAAATTCAGTTAGGGTTAGTTCTTAAAAATTTAAGACAACATGGAGGGGAATGACTAACAAATCTGATATTAAGACATCTTACCTACTGGCACAGAGATCCTTCTCTTCTTACAGTTTGGCTTAAAAACAAAGCAGCCCTATGAAAGAAAGAAAAAAAGCATCAAGTTGCCAAGGGGCAGACAAATCTGATTAACCAAGTATTTTATAGATAAGCAGATTTTTTAAAGGGGTGAGGGTAGAAGATGTTTCAAGTTCTAAGATTCACTCCTTTTTGAATTATAGATGGAAAATTCCAAAACCACAGAGGAACCATTCCTTTCTTTCCCCTCCATCCTATGGGACATTCATCTTTGATTTTGCTCTTTGGGATGTGATCTAAGAGGCAGATAAAGAGAATACAAGCTGATGAAATTTAAACCCTGAAATCTCCATTTTGACAACATTTAGAGGAATTAATACTAGACATTAAACTGAAGATCAGAACGTAGAAAACAGGAATGTTCTCCCTATCCCCAAATCATTCAATTAAACACTAAGTATCTATAACCTTGACAGGAAATAGATAATTGACTACTGTTTCACCCTACATCTTTCTTTATTTGATTATACCCTTTTTTTCCAGTGATTTTAACATGAATACCTTTATTCAATTATATCATTTTTAAATTTAATGCCGTTAAGAGTATGTGATACCTGTTATTTGTACATGATCACATTTACAGGAAACATTCAGGAAGTTTTGCTTTCAGTTTATTCCTTCCAAATGTTTTGGGTTTTTTTATATCTTGAAAATGTACTATCATAAACCAAATTCCAACTCCAGAAAAGAACATGTCTTTTCTTAAACAAGGAATCTATATCCTGCATTTTTACTGCTGGATGCACGGCTTAGTCAGCTATTTTCTTGATGACATTTTCCTGGATGTTTTCATTCCTTACAAGACTGGTTTAAATTACAAACCTAAATTAACATATAATCAAAGCCATTGTTTTGCTTTTAAACATACCCTTTTAGATGTATCTGAAGTTAATCCTCACACATCCCCAAAATGCCACTATTTATAAGTGTAAGAAAATAAAGATCTCACACATTATTTCCTGAGTCTGTTTAAAGATAGTTGTAACTGGAGAGAAAAAAAAATGTTCAAGAAAAATATAGTAGCTTCACTTAACTCACTGCTCTCTTCTGACGCTGGCACAGCTAACATAATTGGAAGATACAAAATAGAATAAATTAAACAGAAATGGTAACAGAGCTCTTAATTTCCCTTCTTCATAGAAAAAAATGACAAAATGTTTCTCCTGTTACAAGGTGCCAACTTTTACATCACCAGGCTTTTCCCTAGTCTCTCTCCACTAAAAAAAAAAAAAAAAAAAAAATTCAAATTCCCACCTCAGGGCAAAGAACACAACTCTTTACAAGTAACTTATTAGTAACTAGTAGTAGGTTACTTATTGTAAGAACTAAACACAGCTTGGCGCCAGTAACACAGTGGTTAAGGGCGCCGGCCACATAAACTGGGGCTGGTGGGTTTGAACGTGTCCCCTGCCTGCTGAACAACTACAACAAAAAAATAACTGGGCGTTGTGGCGGGCGTCTGTAGACCCAGCCACTTGGGAGGCTGAGGCAAGAGAATTGCATAAACCCAAGAGTCTGAGGTTGAGAATTAAAAAAAAATAATAATAATTAAAATATTAGATAGCAAAATTAGATGAGGATTTGTGTTATTTTTATGTCTTCTTTAAAAGCAAATAAAAAGTCTCAAAAATAAAGTAGATACAGTTTCCCAAGTAGAATTCTTACTCACAGATGTATTCCCTGAGTGAAAACACCCAATCTTTTCATTACTAAAGTGATACTGCTTGTATGCAAAACGTCCAGGTACATGTAGTCTTTGTGACACATTTGAAGGATAAATTGTTAACCAAACCCCACCAGTTCTCTCCCTGGAGAATCCTTCTAGTGTAAAATCAGCAATAGTGTTGAAAGCAGAATACACCATGAGGGACCATGTACAATCACAGATTAGAATTTAAAGCTATTTCAGGCACCCAGTTTCAAAGGCAATAATGATTTGCAAGTTGTGGTTTTGTCATCACATCAGGTCATGTTTTACAGGTCAAAAGTAATACAGAAGGGTTAATGGGGAATTACGTGGTTGCTGGTGAATACTCTGGCCTACAAGGTAAGCCAGTTTGCAGGTATAGTGGCAGGGAGAAGAAACTCAGATGATACCTATCCAGTTATAATACATGTGGCACAGCCTTTAAGTGAAACTCTATATTTCATTTGGACTCAAGCCAGCATCATTGTAGATGACATTATAGTGTATAGGGGTGACAGTCCCTTCTTGCACAGACTATAACCCACAATAAAAAAAATACCATTCCTTCCTGGTCACCTCAACATCAATAACCGTTCCAGAAAGTGGATTTTCAAGACCTCTTCCAGAGTCAGCAAAAAATCTGGTGTTGATTCGTTTCTTCACCGTAAAGAAAGTTAAGACTGAAATTTTCACAACAGAGGATCTTTTTCGGGCAGGCCAACATTTGTGGTATCTCATGGTCAAGCAGTGCTTGCCAATGGCTGTACCCTACTCCTTCACAATACTCTATAACAGAATGTGGCATGGATGACTCCTTCCTATACCAGACCTCCAGGGCAGCTCCCAAGCAGCCTGTTAACCCATCCACAATGTCCTGTCCTGTTTCCTGAATGACACATTGAGAGTACCACTTGATCAATTCACCATTGGTGCTTACCACAAATCCTGCAACTGGCTTCTGTCAATTTGCAATATCATGGAAACAATCAATACCAATGAACATCGCTCTCTTTACATTACTACCCATATCCACAGTCCAGAGGGCTCCTCCCATCTTGCAGATGATCTGCTGGGCAATCTTGTTAACAGCAGATGCTGCTATCCTTTGGCTATTTAAGGTCCATGCCACCACACACTGGCTTGGAACTGGGCATTCAGTACAGAGATATTTTATGTCATTATACCTGTTTTTGCTATCATCACACAGTATGCAAACCACCATCTTCGTTTTTGACATAGCATGCTCCTATAACTTGGCTATATAAGAGCTAGCATTCTTCTTCTTCTTCTTCTTTTTTTTGAGACAAAGTCTTACTATGTCACCCTCGGTAGAGGGCTGTAGCGTCACAGCTCACAGAAACCTCAAACTCTTGAGCTTCAGCGATTCTCTTGCCTTAGCCTCCGAAGTAGCCCACCCAACGCCCAGCTATTGTTTTGTTGCAGTTGTCATTATTGATTTTAGCTGGCCCAGGCTGGGTTCGAACCCACCAGCCTGGGTGTATGTGGCTGACCCCTACTCACTGAGCTAAGGGCGCCGCCAGCATCTAGCATTCTTATTTACTTCAGTCCTCCAGGAGCAACTCAAACAGCAGGACTGCCGCCCTCCCCAGCTGGCAGCTCATGGCTCCTCCACGTCCTCTCCCAGTGGCCAGACAGGGTCACAGGCTCCAGCTAGAGTGGGCAAGCTCTGAGGGCCCGATTAAATGCTTATACGTTTATCCATAAAGTCTGACTCAAAACTTACTCTGTCAGGAAACCCCTGATTCTCTAGCCAGAAATGTTCCTTTTCCTGAGATCTCATAGTACTTGAACATCTTAATTTTGCATTGTTTTAAATTGATTTTTTGTGTATCTTAGTTATTTATGAGTCTGTCTCCCCAAGTAGATTGCAAGCACCTTCAGAGCACAGATTGTATTTTATTTATAATTGTTTCCCCAATGTTTAGGACATTGCTAACATACGTGTTAGGCAATCAGTATGTGGGATGAATAAATGTTTTAACAAGTAATATTCCTGGTAATTTGCTAGCTACATTTAGTTTCAAATTATTATTTGATTAGTGGTAGATAGCCCAAGTTACACATACTAGTCTACTTTACCAATGTTAAAATATTAAGTATATAATATAATAGCTTCTTAATGATTTCTATTCCTATGGAGAATAAAAGAATGAAAGAAATATACTGAAGAAAAGTCTCAGGATATCGTGAACAACAGCCATGCAAATTACAAAGTGGCCAGTTGGATTACAGTTTCCAAATTAATAAGTGGATCTTATTTTTTATTTTTATCTTTTTGGAGACAGAGTCTCAAGCTGTCACCTTGGATAGAGTGTGGTGGCATCACAGCTTACAGCAACCTCCAACTCAGCCTCAAGTAATCCTCTTGCCTCAGTTTTCCTACTTTTTAGTAGACATGGGGACTCGCTTTTGCTCAAGCTGGTCTCGAACTCATGAACTCAAGCAATACACTGCCTCAGCCTCCCAGACTACTAGAATTACAGGTGTGAGGCACCACGCCCTTATATTCTTATATCTGCAACTAGTGGAACTATGTAACATACCTACACATGAATATTTAGAAAAAGCATGTGGTATCATAAGCTTGTCATTGCCTCCTTTCCAGAATCCACCTGCAACTCAGTAAAATACAAAGGGCTTCAAAGGAGTAAGATACAAAGAATGCCCAGAATGGATTCTAACCTAAAGTACTGGTAGCTATCTGGTTAACCACTTTGAATTGCTGGGCAAATGATGGGTCTTTCACGTGGAGGATGAAGTCTAAGAGGGCAAAAGACCAGAAAATATCATGAGAAAAGAAAGCAAAAATGTTTAGATAGCTTTAAAAAAAAAATTTAAAAAGCTAAAAGTTCCATGAACTCCTGAAATAGTCCTATTTATGTGAGGTCCACTTCATAATGATCTCAATATAGGCATTTCTGTTATAGATGCCAAAAATGTTTTCCTGAAAAAATAAAATCTTACATTTTTTGTAAGATACACAAAATTAAGAGGTGCTTTTCCAATAACTAGCATTAGTGAATAGACCAGTTAAAACAAACCAACAAAAACAGTACTAATTTCTTTTTTTTTTTTTTTCAGACGGAGCCTCAAGCTGTCCCCCTGGGTAGAGTGCCATGGCATCACAGCTCAAAGCAACCTCCAACTCCGGGGCTCAAGTGAGTCTCCTGCCTCAGCCTCCCAAGTGGCTGGGACTACAGGCGCCCGCCACAGCACCTGGCCATTTTTCGGTTGCAGCCATCATTGTTGTTTGGCGGGCCTGGGCTGGGGATTCGAACCTGCCACCTTAGGTGTATGTGGCTGGCGCCTTAGCCCCTTGAGCCACAGGCGCCGAGCCAACAATACTAATCTTTATAAAAGAACTAGTATAGTTAAACTCTTCTAGCATTTGCACTTAACATCAGGGCCAATCCTTTGTAACCATAAACCCTAAGGCTTGTACTCTCTCCTAGAGATGTACTCTTAGAATATGTTACTTGTAAACAAATTTTCTTTTCTTTTTTTTACAAAATAGGGATTTATTTTTCTTTCCTTTTTTTTTTTTTTTTAAAACAGAATCTCACTCTGTTGCCCAGCCTAGAGTGCCATGGCATCAGCCTAGCTCACAGCAACCTCAAACTCGTGGGCTCAAGTGATCCTCTTGTCTCAACTTCCAGAGCAGATGGGACTCAAAAACCATTTTAATCAAATTAAAAATCAGATCTATTAATTCCTGTTTTAATATAGGGGAAAATGTCTTTGCAGCTTCTTCATCTGCATTTTCAGCTTCACTTCAGCTCAACTTCAGCGGCTCCCTGCTATACATATGATAGAACTAAAAGCTAATGCCCCAGAGCACCACTGCTTGATAGAACTTTCTGTATTGACAGAAATGTCATATATCTGTGCCAATTGGTAACCATGGCTATATGCGGTGATTAAGCACTTGCAATATGGCCAGTGAAACGAACGAATATTATTTAATTTTACTTAATTTTAATTCAAATTTAAATAGCCACATGTAGCTAGTGACTACCATATCGGCTAGTTCAGACCAACTACACTATGTCTTGCAAATCCTTGCTCTCTAGACAGCACATCTGAGGTCTATATGCACTCCCTCTCATGTACATAACTGTATCACTTTCTCATTCTCATTTTTCATAACGTTCCCGCTTTCTCAACTCGGATTACACTGATCTTTCGATTCTTTTAATGTGCCATTTTATTTCTATTTGGGGGGGCCAAAGAACATCGTTCTTTAGGCCTTCTTGCCCCTCAATCCTTTGTGTAACTTCTAGTCATTTTTCAGGTCTCAGCCAAATGTCACCTTCTTCAAAAAGCCTTCGCTGGCAGCGCCTGTGGCTCAGTGAGTAGGGCACTGGCCCCATATAGTAGGGCCCAGCCCGGGCCAAACTGCAACAACAAAAACAAAATAGCAGGGCGTTGTGGGGGCGCCTGAAGTCCCAGCTACTTGGGAGGCTGAGAATCACCTAAGCACCAAGAATTGGGGGTTGCTGTGAGCTGTGACGCCACAGCACTCTATCAAGGGCAACACAGAGTGTCTCAAAAATAAATAAATACATAAAAATTAAAAAAAAAAAAAACACCTTCGGTGACCCCTGGCAATCTGTACTGGATTCTCCCCACTCCTCTGTTCTCTCATTTATAACTTTTTTCCTTGCTATCACTTACAACAATCTGTAAACTTTCAGGTTATGTGTTTAATGTCTTTCTTGACTATAGAAACTGAGTCTATTTTGTTTACCAGTGTATCTCGGTACCTAACCGAGTGCTTGGCTCTCAGCAAAAATTTATATGAGGGAAAAAGGAGAAGAGACCCAGGTACATCCTAGGGGTATCAGTCAGATCCCCACCTACCAGATCCCGGTCCTCACCCCCTAAGCACATTTGGCCTAAAACAGACCGGGGGCAAGGACGCCTCAACTCAGTTCGGTGCTCCCTTCTCTCAACCTCTGCTACATCCTGTCTTCAAAGACAAATCAGGCAGCATCAGAGCCCCAGTGTGCACCCCCAGGTACCTTGGACACCGAGGACGTGGCCATGATCTTAGCAGCCCAGCGAATTCCAGACGCGCACGGGATTTCCCGCGCGCCCTCGCGGCCGCAGGGCAGAGGTCAGCAGCGGAGCAGGCGGTCCTTTGATTGGCTGGCGTCTCCTCCGGGGCGGGCTTCCGGCGCGCGGAGACGGGGCGACCGAGGAGGGCCGCGGGGGCCGGGCCGCCACGCTCCTGGGGGCTAAGTCATGGCTTGCGGCTTTCGCAGGTCCATCGCGGGTCAGGTACGGATACCGGAGCGGGGAGGAGGCGGGGCCCGCGGAGCAGTAGAATCAGAAGTACTTTCGCCGCTGCGGGCCAGGCCTCAGTCGGCGGGAGGGCGGGTTCTGCCGGATTGTCTGCTGCCGCCACCTTCTCTCGGGAGCTGCTGCTGCGGCACAGCCCAACCCAGAGGGTCGGGGAAAACTGTGAGAGGTGCTGATCTCTGTCGCCTTCCCGCCCGCTGTTTGGATGCTTCCCTGAGTGGAAAGTCATTAGGTGGTGACTGGACCCTGTAAGAAGTTAGGGTTCACGATACTTAGTGAAGTTGATAATGGATCCGAATCGCCATCGTAATGGTCTAATTTAAAAGCTGGCATTTCTTCTCCAGTCTGTCCTAGGGTTATTTTTCATAATTCCTCAAGGTACTTGAGATATCGGAGACCCAGTTTTTCTTGATTCAGATTCATACTTGAACAGGTCTGTAAGGAAGAAGGGTATTAGAAATGGTAATACAAATCCGATATTCGTCAAAAAGAATTTTTAAGATTTAATTGGCCACTTGTGAATTTTGCAAGGTAACTTGGTATTGTGATCTTTTATTTTTGAGATAGAGTCTCACTCTGTTCACCAGGCTATAGTGCTGTGGCATCACAGTTCACAGCAACCTCAAACTGGTGGGCTCAAGTGATCCTCCTGCCTCAGCCGCCGGAGTAGCTGGGACTACGGGCGCCCACCACCACACCTGGCTAGCTTTTCTGTTTTTAGTAGAGACAGGGTCTCGTTCTTGCTCAGGCTGGTCTTGAACTCGCTATTGTGGTCTTTTTATTTATTTAGAGACAGAGGCTCACATTATGCCCTCAGTGGAGTGTTGTAGTCACAACTCACAGCAACCTCCAACTCCAGGGCTTAGGTGATTCTCTTGCCTCAAATTCCCGAGTAGCTGGGACTACAGGTCCCCGCCACAACGCCCCGCTATTTTTGTTGTCGTTGTTGTTGTTGTTGCAGTTTGGCTGGGGCTGGGTTAAAACCTGCCACCCTAGGTATGTGGGGCTGACGCCCTACCTACTGAGCCACAGGCGCTGCCCCGCTATTGTGGTCTTGATAAACCATTTCCTTTTTATTAATGGACATATTTTGCTTAGTATGTAATTTAACTTAGCTCATTTTTATATTGTTTCTAGACATTTGTGGAGAAATCCTTGGGCTTTGTCTTTAAGCTTATAGATCAGGTGTCCTCAAACTAAGACCCGCTGGCCACATGTGGCCCGCCGAGGACAATTATCCGGCCTGCCGGGTGTTTTTGCTGCTGCTGCCTGTCCTGCTTAGCAGCGGACTCATCCCAGGGCCGGCAGTCTGGCCCTCCAATTGTCTGAGGGACAATGAACTGGCCCCCCTGTTTAAAAAGTTTGAGGACCCCTGTATGTACTGCTCTTTCTAATGGTAATTTCTCATAAGTCACGGGTGAGTTTATTGCTTGCTAGGGTAAGGAAGAATATCACCTCACAGAGCTTTGTTATTGTCTCAAACTGGGAAAGTGAGGTGAGATGTTATTGATAATGGGAAGTATGGTTTAAGGTGGTTTTTCAGTAGCAGAGAGTGGTAGGGAGTTAGAGGGGAGATCGCTGATTAGGTTGGGACACTGATCTTGACATAGCAAGTCAAGTGCAAGAAGCCTTAAGACATGAACTCTGATGCCTTCTATTGACCTAATAGATTTTTCAGAAGATTCCTATAGTGAACAATCCAGTTATTCTTCTGAGCAGGGGTCTTCTAGAATAGTAAAGTTATGCTAATGAAAACAAAGTAATAATAAAGTCATGTTAATGTAGACAGTACATTGGGAAGGTAGTTTGGACTTCAGCCTTAGGTCATGATAGTGCCACGATTGTGAGAAAGGATTTCTCATAACCCTTACAGGAGTGCAACCATTTAGAAAATCTGGTTTGAAACCAAAAAACTCCCTAGATTTCTGGAGTGCCTCAAGACCAGAATTCCTGGAAACACTCTACCCATATCCTGGTCCCTAATCCAGACCCATACTGGGAATATCCCCCAGCTCTACTCTGAACTCACTGCCCCTGTCTAGCTATACTGATGAGGCTAATAAAAGCCTTTGGCAACTGTGTGGGAGCTGACCTGACTCCTGGTCAGTCTCCATTGCCCCATTAAAGTCTTTCCCTGTCACTGGACTGACTTCTCCTTTCTTGCACACCCTTACCCCATTCTATGCCAGAACCTCTCATCTTTGGCAGGAGTCTCCTAGAATAGTAAAGTTGTGCCAGTGAAGGCAAAGTAGTAATAAAGTCATGTTAATATAGTGCCAGGATAAGAAACATAATGCGTTTAGTATTGGAAAGACTATTCCTTGTGAAGAAGATAACTTGGAGAAACGGGAACTAACATTTATTGAATATGTATTTGTGATAGTTTACGTTCACTTTTAAGCCCTATGGCAACCCTGTGACATTGAAGTATTAACATTAAACAAACAAACCCATTGAGGTCCAGAGAGATTAAATAACCTACTCAAAGCCACAGTCATAAATTGTATCCTTGATTTATGAACAGAGATCTAACTTCAAAATCAGATCTTTCCTATACACTAGGGTGTTTAATTTGTGAAAGCAAAAAGTGAATCTGATCATTAAATAAAATCCAATAGATTGAATTGGCTATGTAAATTGTGCAGATACATATTCTTTAAATATGGAGTCATTGAGGAATGATCTGAAATTAGAAGAGGCCAGGCATGGTGCCTCATGCCTATAATCCTGGCATTCTGGGAGGCCAAGGCAGGAGGATCCCTTGAGCTCAAGAGTTAGAGACCAGGCTCGGCGCCTGTGGCTCAAGCGGCTAAGGCACCAGCCACATACACCTGAGTTGGTGGGTTCGAATCCAGCCTGGGCCCGCCAAACAACAGTGATGGCTACAACCAAAAAATAGCCGGGTGTTGTGG